GATAATCTGGATATCTCTTAGCTGTGGAAATACAATTTAGAGTACCCTGGATATTTACAGCTGTGTTCCCCCCATAAAATGATCACTGTTCCTTGCATAAACAGCTGTGCAAGCACAAGCAGGAGGGTGTCAGAGAGAAACTGTATGGTTACAGGTTATAGTCACGGTCACCCCTAGCTCTGCATGTCTGTATGTTGCTTTGCATTCTCTGCAGATCTGCGCATGCTGTCTTGCCTGTGGGCACCTACTCCCTTTCTGAATTATGACAAGTCTAAATTTTGCATTTCTGATCTGTTTCTGAGATAGTGAGGATTCATATATTCTGCAGTGAGAAACTGAGCAGATAGTAGAAAGATATTTAAAAAGTTTTCATGCAGCTTCGGTGAGGATATATCTGCCAGGTCATGGAGGTCAGGAGAGTTTGTTCTTACATGTCAGTCTGGAATAAGATGTGTATTGTAATGGTTAGGCACAGCCTCTGACAAGACAAATCAATAGTGACTTCTGACATCCAGAAACAGGGCAATGAAGTTAATTGCAGGTATTTTCTCAACAGTAGAAAAGCTTTAATTTAAAAGTATACTGGAGGAAATTCTGCTTGGTTTTGATCGTGAATACTACAAAACAGTCCCCTAATCTGATAACACCATTTGTTTTAGTCAGCTTAGACTATTCTCTGACTTTCTGGAAGTCTCTCATCTTTTCCCAGGCTTTCTTCTCTTTCATGTACCACCCACCAATCTCTTCACTTGATCCCATTCTCCCAGCTGCACACTCTTAAGTTCACGTTTGATTTTGGTGTCTTCAGGCTGTGGGATAGATGGTAAGTGCAGCAGCAGCAGTGGAGAGTTGAGTCTCTTGACCTTTTCAGTAGCCCTGTGTTTGATGGGAAGAAGCAGCAGATGACAGAAGCAGGAGGGTCTCTTCACCACTACCTGGCTGGAAATTGAGAGCAGCTCCCTTTACTCTAACTGTGAATTCAACGTGGCAGCTTAAAATTTCTCTCCACTAGCAGCTGCCTTTCTCTAGATTTGATTGGTTGAGTCTCAGTGTTATTTGTTTTCCTCCTAATTTCTATGTCACTGCATGCACACGTCACACTTCACAAGCAGATATTTTGATGTTTGCTCTTTCTGTCCCTCACCAAAGTCATGGATAGAAGCAACATTGAGGGAGGGGGAAGTGGCCCACTGAAAACTGTTGGAAATGCCCTAGAGGATGAGGACTTCAGAAATTTGATAGTGTGAACAGCAGGCATTTTGTAATTTTTGATGGGAAACCAGGCTACTTCTGATTTAATTCTGCCCCGTGAACCTCAGACGGGATAACTGCTTCAGTTCTTCAGCCCAAGTAAGGTGTGGTAAAGGAAATCTCTCCCAAATACAGAGTAGAGAACTGACTCAATATTCTCATGCATGCCATGCTGTTATGAGCCGCCTATATGGAACAAACCTGAGAATGTGGCTGGTAAAGCTACTATAGGTTTTGATCTTGCTCTAGAGCTGTTACTTTCCTGAGTAATTATTCAATATTCGTTCAGCAGTTTATTTTCCTTTCCAATAGAAAAATCCTCCTGCAGATGCACATCAGAATGTAAGGTGAACTTCAGAAATGTGTTTTATGGCAGGAAGATTCTATGGTATAATAAGATCAAAAATAAGGAATGCTGTGAGTTCATTAACTGAGACTCTTGTAATCCTCATCCATTATGCTGTTGTTTTCCTTTTCTTTTGTCTATTCATGCACTTTTATTTCATTAAAAAAAAAAAATTCAAGATTTTCTTGAGAAAGAAAAGGATACAGGTGTGCAGACATTTAAAGATATTTTTAGCCTGGTGTTTGAGGAAGATTTTAATATCATTATTGAAAACAACTGAACTTCAGAAAGTGAATTCAGGCTGTTTCAGGGTTGGGGTGATCCAGACTGAACAGCTGCCAGATGCTTGCCTGGGATCTCTGCAGAATTTGCAACCAGCAATTTAGTCTCCTTCTCAAGGAGAGTGAAATTAGAAAGAGGCAGATGATCCACCATCATGTGACCAATCTCTTTTTGTTTCTTTCATGGAAATACTGCTGCTGTTGCAAAAGTCACAAAGGTTCCCGCTCCAAAACCTCCCAGTGTGTTGTCCTGGCTGTTTGGGTGGCTGATGATCAGATATTGGAGTACTTTACTTGCTCTGAGAAAACACGCCTTCCTCACCCAGGTGTTGTCTGCTTGGAGCAGCTACGCAGACTAATGACAGCTACAATGCAAAAAACAAGATAATTCCTTTAAATAAACTTTCACATGAAAGAATGGGATACAAACAGCATGACCTTCTTAGACCAAAATCATGAAAACAAAAACAAAAATAAAAAATGAATCCCGAGTCTCAGTGCCTTTATGAAAGTCTTGGCCAGCAAAACTCCAATGCAAATCATAATCCACTAATTGGTGGCTTTCTGCACCACCAGTTCTGTTTCTTGAAGCAGTAAATTCATCTTTGCATCTCTGTTTTAGAGAAAACCTCAGGGTCCTGCCTGCCTTTGCTAAAGTGTGAGTAACAGCAACAGAGGATGGCAATGCCTCAGCATCTCCCTGGGCAGCATAGGCAGCAAGGTCTTCTGGGATGCTCTGCTACAAAAAGGAAAAAAAAGTCATTATTTCTGCTTCATTTGTTATCAGCACATAAAGATAAGACAGTGTAAGGCAGTATTCAGAAGGAGTTAGGCAACTTGCCAGTGTTAGCACGTTAGTTACCCTCAACACATTAAAGCAAAGGTCAGGGCAGGATTTATGTGGGGATTCAGAGGAAAGTGGAAGCAGGTAAGCCCTGCTTAGTGGAGAGCCTTCTTTGCCGCCCTGGGGGTTGGCAGTGACACATTTCATTTTACAGATACTGGCAGCTGTAAGAGCGAAGGCAGGATTGAGGATGAGCTGTCAGCCCATTCTTATTCTGGAATTGATGGAGAACAGTGATCTAGAGTGGGACTTGCTCTTAGATGTATATGTTGGCTTGAGCAGGCCTTGTGCTGGCAGAACCGGTCTAGCTATATTCAATGTTACAGCTGTGTGTGATTGCAGAAATTAGGTTAAGAATTGCTTCAGAGTTTGTGATGGGTCAGAGGAGGCTGGATAACATTCATGCAGTCTACAGGTTTGGGGTTTCTTTTGCAAAGAATAAGATGGAGCAGCATGCAAGGAAATGTTTATGGGGGAGGAAAGTGAGTTCAGAATGCAGAGAGAAAATGCAGGCACAGCATTTCATTTGCTCAGCAAATCTTCCAAATGAATTTCAGACTGAAGGGCATAACTTCATGTTGTAGTCAAAACTATTTTGAAATCCACTTTTTCTCTCTCTGCTGCTGAGGATCCAACTGGTTAATGATAGCTGAGTTTCATCTACATTATTTTGGGAGCCACAGTACTCCACAGCTTATTATTGTAGGATGGCTACAGAAAGTTCTTTTCATTTGTATTCCAAATTCAGCTTCCCTGACTGCAGTACTTTGCTCTGGCATTAACACCTGTAAAATAAATAAATAAAGATAACCCAAACAATTTGTAGCTTTTGATTTAATAATTTTCTCTGTGTGATAATGATGCCTGGAAGAGGCACAAGGCGTTCTGGTTCTTTCTGCTCAACCATTAGGCTGTATTTTAAAGGGAATCTGGAAAACAGGAGATCCCCACACCTCCATACTCCTGCAGGTCTCCAGGAAAATTGAGATACTAAGTGGATGTTGGCTCGTGCTTGAGCTCCCTGTGTTGTTTTGTGCAATCTCCTTCCATCTCTAATGCTATTTCTCTTGCTGGTATCCCTCCCTCTCCTCTTCCCTACCTTTGGTGATAACTGCTCATCAGAGGTGACAAAACCTCGAAATGGTTAAGACTTTCTTGATGTGAGGTGTGGGAAATAGTGTCCATCTATGTTGCAGCTGTGTTGCTTTCCCTGTGCAAGCAAAATGCAGAGCACTAGTTACAGCTCAGGGCAGAGCTGCCTGTGTTCCCATGGTCCCTCCCCACGCTGCTGCACTTCTCGATGGGAAGAGTAAAATTTTGTGACAAAGGTAGGGCTTTGTGACAGCAGCAGCAAAAATTGCTCTCCTTTCTGACTAGTCCTCCTGGAACAGTCTTTTAGGTCTAACTCTCCAGGGGCTAAAATCACTGCAGGACTTAAGCAACATGCCTTGGCTATTTGGATAAAATAACCTAGTTTTGATTAGGTTCATAGGAATCATAGGATAAGGAATCATAGGATAAAGGGATTTCTTTTTTTCAGAACTGGGCATAGAATAAAAATGTGAAAAGCTGGATCAAATAGCTAAAGCCAATATCTTCCCCCTGAGGCTTTCCTTCAGTTCCTTTGTAGCACATCAACTTAAAAGAGACTTAAACTCCACTTTCTGAAGGTTGTGGATTGAGAGGTGAAAGCTGAAAAGAAAAAGGGAGTTCACATCTGCAGCCTCCTAGGAAATGCTAGTAACAACCCATCATTCTCAGAGCTGGGGCTGACAGTGTTTCTGCCTGTCCTTGTGCCTGTTGGTCTTTATCTGAATTATCTGCTGGCACATCCAAAAGGTGATGATGGCATGTGACGTTGGGTGTGATGTGGTCTCTGCCATGCATTTCCCCTCTCCTAGTATTTGGGAAGGCAGCATGAGTAGAAGGGGGAAAAGTGCTTTTTTCGCTATTTTGCTCCTGATGTATTTGTCCTGCTTACTGTGCTGCTCAGTCTGTGGGGCTGATGGGTGTATTTTCACAAACCTGCAGACATACCTATCCTTATTGTGCCAGCTTATTGATAAGGTATTTTTGGTATCAAAAGTGGAGCACCGGTATAAAAAGCTGATTTTAATATCTCTCTTATGCTAAGGAGCCATTCCTGCTGAATGCGGGATATATGCACCTATTCCCCTCAGACAGGGGGAAACAACAGCCTTGAGTCTCCTGCTTGTGTGTTAATTTGCTGTACAATACCCAAAATACATGGAAGAGAACAACACAAATATTCTTACAGGTGTGACAACAAAAGAACAGAAATAGAAAGAAAGAAATCCCAAAGAGAAAAAGAAGGAAAAAGAAAGCGAAGAAGGAAGACTCAGATATTGTGTCAGGTATGTTTGTGTTGTTTGTTTGTTTGTTTGTTTGTTTGTTTGTTTTTTGCAAGGGTTTTGTGAAAATGCATTTGCTTAAAAGGAAAATTTGTTTTATCAACTTCTCTGTAGAAGTAATATTTACCCATGGGAAATGCAGCCTCCTCTAATTTCGGCTGCTTATCTCTGTTCTGTGTGTGTGTGTGTGTGTGAAATCATGCACCCACTGAGCTCACATAAAATTATACAATACCTGGGTCCCTTACATCCTGAGTTCACCACAAAGCAGGAATCTGAATGCTGCAGCAGGATGCATGATTGCTGATGTCCAGAATATCTGATGTTTATGACTTGAAGAGGAGCCACATTTTCTTCAGTAAAAGAAATGAAGTAAAAGGGTAGATTTTAAAAGGGTAAGTTTTCTTGTCTTTCTGCACACACACGAAACCTAAAGGCTCCCAGGGGAGAAGATACTTAAACGAGCAAATGTTAATTGCTGAAGATCTCATTGATCACCACACAATGGTGGATAGGTTGCTGCCGAGGGGATTTGGGTTTATACAAGCTTTCTCCTTACGGAACATTTTCCCCACATCTTGTCAGTGTTTCCCAATAATGGGACATGCTGCAAGAAAAGTTCTCCGCCAGCCCTCTAGACACTCCTGTAAAATAAATGTCCCCTGCTGTCCTAGTGGCCTTACAGGACATATCCCATGGGACAGATAAGTCACTGTGTTTCCTGAGTTGGCATTTTTCTATTTCTCTCACAGGGTACTGAGCAAAAGGCACCAGGGACCACTGCCCACCTCCCTGAGTGCTGCTCCTCAACTTGGGGACAGAACAGTCCCAGGTGAGATAGCAATCAGCCATAAACACTACCACCAACTGAGAGCTGCCTTCATTACTGCTCTCCTTGGCAGTGAATCTTTCCTCTTGTTTAAATGCCCCACACTGTTGTAGAACTGTTTTTGTGCAGGCATCTATTGCTCTGGTTCTGGTGTGATGCATGCTTAATGAGCTCTCCTGAAAAGAGCACAGGGAGCTCGACAGCCTTCAGCAGAGGCCACAAAGCTTGTTATTATATCTGTAATTGTTTTTATTTTTTTTTTCATTTCTCTTTTACTATGCAGACAGAAACACACTGGTGTTCCAGTCAGTTGTGACAGGACAATCCTGAGTGAACAGAAGATGAATCAGTGGGTGAGCAGTTCCCTTAAGAGTAAAAAGGTGTTAAATTAGTTGAGCCTTGTACTGCTTTGAAGCTCACAAGCATGACATTTTTGTGTTTTTATCACATCTTTGTGTGTTTGAGCTACTGCTTAGTGAGGTAGATGCTGTCAAATCCGACGTCCTAAAATGAAACGGTGATATAATGCAACACACAAAAACAGTGAGCTGGGTTTCGTTTTTCCTTTTTAGTCACTTAGGATATTTTTAATGACATCCGAGCATTTAACCACAATGCTGTCACTGCTGTTTAAAAACAAGCTCAGGTAGTTATTTAGTTAGCTCACAAAGATTGAAAAATGAAGACAACTCATATTTCCAAAGCTCTGAATTTGCAAGATGGCTTATACTTCATTCTAAAGATACTTTGCTTTAATGTACTTTATCTTCTCCATATTGTGATGGGGGAAAAAAAAAGCAAATGATTTTGATACTCATCAGTGTTTCAGATGAGGTATTGTCTTTTCAGGTAGTGCAATTTCAGCCGTGTATCATCAAGTTTTATCATGCCGTCTTGCTTAGGAAAATCCAGTCTTGCTTAAATAATTTGTGTGCTACATCATTCTGAAGTATTTCAAAACAGTGCACTGTGAAGAGCTCATCTGGAGGTGTTTGGCTGCAGTGCTGTAGGCTTCTGCTCTCATTGCTATGGGATGTGTGCACCTTCCAGCAGCACACCAAGCACCAGGACTAACATCTGCCACGTTTTGTTTGCTTTTGCTTGCTCCCTCTGGGGGAAATGCATATACAGTGGGTTACCTAGTTTGGGTATGGCTTCTCCCTAAGGGAGTGGTTTGCTTTTATTTATTTATTTGTAATCTGATTTGATTTTTGATTTTTTTTTTGTAAAAAAGATGCATTCTTCTGCATTTCAGTGAGAAAAGGCAAAATGGAAGAAATACACAAAGTGGTACCTGGAGAGGTTTGGAAATGTGTGTGGAGGGGGGCGTTCGGTTTGTCGATAATTCCTTCAGATTAGTCTCAGCATGGCGAGGATTTCTGTGCCAGAGGAGCTGCAGTGCAAGAGCTCTGGGCTTGGATTCAGGATTGCTGCAGAGGTCTGTGGCTGCCCAAAGGGAGATTTTCTGGCTGACAGACTGCAGCAGCGTGATGCAGGAAAGCAGGATCTGAGCAGGATCGCTCTGCATGTGTCCTACCTTGGAATGGTGTGGCGAGCTGGGAAGGACGGGCTGTGTTACCAGTGAGAGATGGCAGATGTGCTCTGAGGCTGCTGGTCTCTTTGCAGGAAGGGGCTCACTTCAATTTTCTGGAAGCCTGAAACTTAAGCTCTGATGTGTAAACTCATCTCTTTCTGCTAACTCAGATGTCAGTAGCTGCACGCTATCTGCATTGCTAACTATTGTGGTTGCTCTCTGTTAACTTATCAAAGGAGATAAGAGGATGTAATTACAAAAAGCTATCTGTTACCATTGCCACTCTTTCAAATGAGACTCATTTTACACTGGAATTTAACAGCACCAAACAGACTGAGTGGAGGCACAAACAGTTTAATTGTCCTTGAAAGTCAAATCCACTTGCCAGAGGAGTGAGGAGCTTTCATGGGGTCAATGTTAAGCTACTGTGGCCATTGATCATTGCTCTGCACTGGAGTGATTGGTCCTCCACCGCTGGTAAATGGATGCTTTCACCTCTAGCAGCAGTATCTTTGTACAGGAGCCATAGCTTTTTCCCTTGAAGGTGACAGTCAGCCACTGGTGTTGCTACCTTGTAGAATAGCACAGTGCACAAATTACCCATTCCTAAATCCAGTGCTGCCTTATGTAGTAAGCTGGACATACATTACAAGTGTCCTTTGTCCTTTTCAAGGTCTCAGATACTGGTGCCAATACACACAGTAGTCGTACAATAACTAGTGCAGGTATGTTCTAATCAGTTCTGCCAAAATGACATTATGTTATGTAAAAGTTTCCCTCTTCCTAAACTGGGAAATTTCAGCTTCCTAAATTCTCTGTTTGGCATGCTGAACAAATATCTTCTCAGGATCATCACAGTTTTACTAACATTTAAAATGTTATTTATTTCTCAAAAATTGTAGAATCACAGACTGTCACAGGTTGGAAGGAACCTAAAAGCCCACCCAGCCCCAATCCCCAGCTGTGAGCAAGGCTGCTCCCCACCAGCTCAGGTTGCCCAGGACCCATCCAACCTGGCACTGAGTGCCTCTATGGATGGGGCACCACAGCCCTGGGCAGCAGTGCCAGGGCCTCACCAACCTCTGAATAAAGAATTTCCGCCTAACATGTTACTTAAATCTCCCCTCTTTTAGTTTAAAGCCAGTCCTCCTTGTCCCATAGCTATCAGACCACGTAAAAGTCGGTCTCGTTCCTGCTTCTAAACTCCCTCTCAAGTACCGGCAGGCTGTAATGAGGTCATCCCAGAGCATTCTCTTCTCCAGGCTGTACAAGACCAACTCCCTCAGCCTTTTTTCATAGGAGAGGTGCTCCAGTCCTCTGATCAGTGCTGTAGTGACTGGTTATCTGCAACTGATGGGACAGAAGACTGTAAGTATGGTTATGAGGAAGAACATGAATACTTCTGGATAGTTAGTAATAGGAGGAGACTGCCAAGGGCATTTAATCTTTACAAACAGAGAGGAGAGACAGGAATGAAAGGAATGAAAATAAAGGCTATATAGGCATGGGCAAAATTTGAGATCAGTCTTAGCATAAGATTAACAAGAAGGCATTAGTTTACACTGGATGGATGCATGGATCAGGAGCTGCTTGTGGCAGCCTCTTCTGTAGAAAGCAAGAAAGGTGCCCTCTTGTTTTCTGTCTTCCAACTCGGAGACCAGTTAGGTATTTCCAGGGAAGGTCTACAATTTCCAGGTGAAGGACTCACACTGAGCTTGAACTTGAGCTTATTGCATTGAGTTGACTCCTGCTGCCCCTTCGGTGTGCTCAGGTGTGCATCACAGAACTTCTTTGAATGTGCTGTAAACAAGAAAGGAAATTGTCAGTTAACTAATCTTGGTCAAAACTTATCCTTGCTGAAGTACAAACTGAACCACCTGCAATGGACACCAAATTATCCATAAGAGTCCCCTGGAGCTTTAGATGCTTCTCATGTGCCCTTTTCTGCAGCATTTCCACATACCTGTTATTTCAGCTACTATTCACTCCTGCGGAATCTGAGTCCTCAGGTCAGGGGAAATTTGTCATTACCATGAGGACAGGCACAGGCTTCAAAAGCTGTTGTTGATTTTTCAAATTAAAAAATCCTTATTAGCAGGAAAAAAGAAAAGTTGAAACTTGCAAACAGAAAGCAGTAAGAGGAGAATCACGTGTCTTTTGATCATGATTATGCTTTCAGAAGCATATTGGCATAATGAAGGGATAATTACTAGCTATGCTGGGTTCTGTTTTCACACATTTGTGACGATTAGGCATGGGAGCGGGCAGGTTGTCACTGATTTTAGGCGAAGCTGTTCAGTGGGCACAAAGGAACTTAAACACCAATAGGAAACAGTTCAGCCTCCATAGCCCACCTCCATGTTTCCAGCAGGACTAAATTTACTGACCAGCAGCAAAAGCAGTGTGTGGAGTTGCATCAGCAGTGCCCAGTCATTGTATGTCTTTGTGACGGTAAAATAGTAAGTGTTAAAATACCAGAAGCCTCAAACCAAGCAGCTGAAGTGTCAAAAAGCTTTGTATCAACTTAGCTGCCTTCTTGCACATGCACACAGACTATGAAGTCTTTCACCTAAATTTAAGGGGTCTTGCAGATCTGTAGTTCTCCATCACAATGCTTCCAGTCCAGAGTAACTTTGGCAGAGTAACTATCTTTTGAGGGGCAGCACTGGACAGCAATGCTTCTGTAGATAAAAAGACTTCCAGATCTTGCTCTCACTACAGTCCTTCAATACTGAAGGGAATGTCCTCTCTACAACATTGCTCTCTACAGCTGCATGAAAAGAGATTGTGATGAGGTGGGTGTGGGCCTCTTCTCTCAGGTAACAAGTGATAGGATGAAAGAGAATGGCCTCAAGTTGTGCTGGAGGGTGTGAGGGGGTCAGGTTGGATATTGGAAAGAACTTCTTCTCAGAAGGAACTGTGAAGCATTGGAACAGGCTGCCCAGGGAGGTGGTGGAGTCACTGTCCCTGGAGGTGTTAAGAACCACAGAGATGTAGCACTGAGGGACATGGTTAGTGGGCAATATTGGTGGTACTTGGACAGTTGGACTAGATGATCTTAGTGGTCTTTTTCAACCTTAAGGATTCCATGATGCTCATACTGCTGCTGAGCACATTTGAAGGCCACTGGAAATGAAGCCCACCCTGTAAATCCAGAACCTAATTTTCAGTCCTGTAATTAGCACTGGATAGCCCCCGCATTTAACTTGAAATGCATGTTTTCCCCTTATATGGGTTAAAATCACTGAGGATGACTATTTTCAAGCATGTACATTGCATGATCAGTCTTATAGATTTGTTCCAGATTGTTTTGCTTATTACCGTTCCAGGTGGCTATGAGTTAATTAGCAAGCTATGTGTTTCAGGGTACACTATAGCCATACATAAATAAATCATTATTGAATACAGAGTGCACAGATACTTGATGGTGTGGCAGAAATCCTTTTGGCTAGTACAGGACAACTGAAATATATGTATTATTTGTGACCATATGCAGCTTTTTCATTAATTGGCCTCGTCTGGGTTTGAGTTGTGGAGAGTAAGAGGTTTGATCTGTCATTGGTTCTTACTCATCGTGGCCCAATTTTTATTTCCTTAGGTTCCAGGCCAGCCTCTAATAAACAAGATATGGTTTTCCCTCAGATGCTAAAAGGGACACAGGTTGGGTTTGGGTATCTGGGAAAGATGGCATAAAGCCAGCAAGACATTCTGTGGGTAAGGTCTCACCTACATCTTCCAGACTTGAGCAGTTCAGTGCCTCTCAAGTGTTTTCTTCCTGTTCCTCACTCTTGAAGGTCATTCTAGCACACAGCTGACCCC